TTAATTAAGAGGAGCATCCAAAATTAATCAGCAAATTCACTAGGGCGAAGGGGAGCTGTCTGAAGGCCTCGATATAAAATGCACTTCTAGTACAGAGAAATGAGCCTTCGGCTATTGACAAAGAAAAAACAAGTGCACAGACGGCAATCTGACATAAAAATTCATATACGTATATAATTTTACATTCATTTTCCCTGTCAGCTTGTCACCTTTAATTATAAAGGTTGATTCGCTATTTGGCAGATCTGGAAATTGTAAACGCTTGGCCATTTGAATATCATCATATGGTCAATGTCTTCAAAAAAGAATGACAAAGGAGCACACCAGGAAGGCAACATTGTAAAATCCAAACTGAACTTCTGTGATGCTCACCTGGAAGGATTTTGCAGCTCTTGAAGACAACTCTGAACTTGGCTATAAAAGCACACAAGTTATGACTGTCCACAGAGAAAACATTCTATTGACAAGTTGCTAGCCCCCACAACTTTTTTTACTTAGAGTAGTTTCTAATCTTAATTTCTTTAGTTCTTTTATCACTCACTCCATTCTAATGTTATTAGTGTTTGGTGTGAAGGATTTGCATAGACCTTCAGGCTACTAATGACCTTTATGTGGAAACAGCAAATTCTGCTTTGCCCAGTCAAGAGAAGATGTAAAAAGATTAAAAAAAAAGCTAAACCCATATCATGCAAACACAGAGAGAAGCTTCTTAGATAGTTAAAAATTTTAATCAGATGAGTTTACTTGTTTTCAGCAAACAATAATTTAGCATTGTGTTTTTGTAACTGTAGGACTTTTTATTTGTACCTTGAAAGAAGCCCACGGGCTCAGGTTGCAGAGGCTACCTGTTGTAAGCATTTGTTGTAGTTCCACCTCTCTTATTTACCAGCTATCTCTATTTTCATGCAGTTTTTCACAAGTTTGGAATGACTTCAGCTACCATGTTTCTAATATTACAACATGTCATAGTTTTGAACTAAGAACAGCCGCATTGCTCAGAGTTTCGGGTATCACTATTGCTCTTCATGAATTGCCATAGACCTATAAAAACCACAAAAATAGGCCCTAAAAATGCTACAGACCCATGCAGCAGCACACACAGAGGAACTTTAACTTTCCAAATCTGTTCTGAACAGTCTGATATAGAAAATGTTACTTGGGCCAGCTATTGACTCCTGATAAAAAAATGCAGGCAGACATGTAGGAGGCTTCAGTAACAATGTATTTTGTACTGATTTTTGAATACTTCTCTGATGTTATGGAACAGAAAATGACGGAGTGTAGGGCTCCATATAATGAAACTTGGCACTATCAGGTTTATTTCAAATAACTACTACACAAGAAATAGAATATTCTGAACAGGAATGATACTCTACACTGCATCACATACTAATTTAAGATTCTGATTCTATTTTTTTTATTAGATACTTTTATCCCTAAATGGGTGTATTAAGTTAACCTTATACCATTGACTTCTCAACTGCTGTATTTTTGAATTGTTTTCTGTTGAGGAATGAAGAACACCGAGGGTACTAAACCAATCTAAGGAACTTTTTTCTTACTTGTTTTTACATGGTAGCAAAAGGGAAATATTTACTGGCCTCCTATTCCAGCTGTCAGAGCAGCTGTGCAAATGCATAAGAGAACTGTCCTCATGCTATGGCTTACAAGCAGTTCTATTTTTGACTGTGGAGTCACACATAATGGAGTTAGGTCAAAACTTGCAAGATTGAGTGTTGGTATTTATACCTTTGTATCTACAGGAAAGCAGTTAGAACACTGCAGAGTACTTGGTACTCTTTTGTTTTAAATTAATGCCAGCCTTCATAAAATCGATGATTACACAGGAGACCTGAAGCCACCTTAGAAGCTGCATGATGTCTGCCATCTCAGACAAGGTGAGACACAATCATAGTTCTGTGATCTGTTATTCCTTTTCTTCAACTCATTTTATAACTATAAACACTACCTTTTATCTTCATTTCCTGCATCTCTGGTTCTGAGGAGAAAGGGTAATTCCTTAGGATCCAATCAGGCAATCAGAAAGTCAGCAGATTATCCAGCACTAGGTGAACATGATTGTGGCTTTGGTGTGCTGTTTGTGCTCACTAAATATAAATAAATAAATAAAAAGTAAACTGTTTACAGACATTCCATCAAAAATTTAAAGAATGAATTACTAATCAGAAAATAAATCTTTTTACAAACTTTAAGTTTCCACTAAATGAACCACAATTCCAGTGGGAGTAATTTTTTATATCTACAAAGAATCAATGGCACAAAGGTGGTGTCACCCTTTATCTTCCAAAACACCCTTATCCTGTCAGTGAGCAAAAGTAATCGAAACCACCAAAGAGCTGAATACCAGTGAAACTTTGAGAGAGATACTGAACTTAATTAACCAATAATTAATGCATAGTAAATTAAATTTTTTAGTAACTCAAGGCATTTCCCTAGCTATTTTTGCCTTACCTTTTTCAGGACTTCACAGGGTAATTTTGTTACAGTTTCACATAACCAAATTCCCCAAGCTGTTCTAAAGAGATCTGTTCTGCAAGGATTGCAGTAACTCCTACCCTCCCTGCAGTCAGGTGCCTCAAACTCCTGAAAGCGAGCGTCAGGCTAGCAAGGGATACCTGCCATCTAAACACTGTGATAGAGGGTGGACTGTAATCCCAGGGGATAGACATTATTCTTTCATTACCTACCTTTATATTTAAAAATATTAATACTGTAAGGCTGACACATTTATAATTCAAGCCTCCTACTAAAGAAAAGGAAGCCAGACACTATTTGCATCTCTCAGAATCTGTTTACAGTGTATAATTTACTCAGAAACAGGGCATTAGCTTTCTTCTTGTTTTCATAGCAACTGATTGCTGGTTTATTAAATTAATATTAATCAATAGGAATTGATTTTATGCACTACTTAAAATGTTGTTCACATTAGAATTTATCTGTATCCTTTAGAGTTGCAATGGTTTTGTTCCTGTTGTACCAGGGACTCCTTCTAAAGGAGGGAAACTCCTCCTGTCCTTCTGCAGTGAGAAGACTTTGATGCTGCAGGGAAGACTTGCTAGTTCATCCTGTAGAAGGGCATTTCCCACTTGAAAATATAAGTTCATATCTTCACATATCAGGAGGATGAAATGGGTTGGTTCAGTTATAGCATGGTGCTGATAACACCATGGTTGCGGGTTCAATCCCCTTATGGGTGATTCACTTCCGTGGTGGACTCCCTGATCTTTGTGGGTCCCTTCCAACTCAGAATATTTGCTGAATATCTGAGATATTTTTTTTTCTGTGAAAACCTGGTCTGTGGCAATGGCAGAACCTTCCACAGGTTTTGGATCCAGGTTTGCCCTCAGCAGCTTGCCAGAAGTAGTTTGGAGGTATACCAACATTGGTGAAGTATCAGGAGTTTGGATGTATCCTTTGTAAGTCAGGTGCTCCTCTGGTGGAGGCCTGCTTCATGACATACAGGACAAAGTAGCATCTTGGCTAATGTGGAGGGGAGCATTGAACATTTTGTGCTGCTTCTTTGCAGTCCAAAATGCAGGGAGTTGTGCATTGTAGGACAGGCGAGTTGCCAATGTCAAACCATGCAGTGACATATTTGCAGTATTGTCTCCAAGCACTTGCTGTAAGAGAAAAGATTGGCCTTTCTAAACTGAAGGTATCTAGCAGAACAGTTGCCTCAGATTTGTTTTCAGTGGCTAAAGATGTGTCATCTCACCACATTACAGCACATTAAACATATAGGAAGATTCAGTCTCATCTGCCCTGGGATCTGCTGTGTGGTGGGTTGGTCTTAGATGGATGGCCACTAACTACTCTGTCACTACTCTCCTCAGCAGGATGAGGTGGAGAGAAAATAAAAGTGAAAAAAATCCGTGGATCAGATAAAGGCATTTTAATGAAGCAAAAGCAAAGGCCACACACAGAACCAAAGGAAAAAAGGTTTTTTTCTCTGCTTCCCATCAGCAGGTGATGTCCGACCACTTCCCAGGAAGTGGGGCTTCAGGTTGCATAGAATTTGCTCTAGAAGACAAATGTGGTAATAACAAATGCCCATACCCCACCCCCCCTACCCTACTCATCCTCCTTCTCTTAGCATATATTGCTGAGCAGATGTCATATGGTATGAACTATCTCTTTGGTCAGTTTGGGTCTGCTGTCTGTGCTATGTCCCCTCCCAAGACCTTGTCCACCCTGGTCTACAGATGGGGGGAATGTTGGAGAGACAGCCCTGATGCTGTGGAGCACTGCTCAGCAGTAGATGTGTTACCAACACCTTTCTATCTATCAATACAAAGCTCACCACTGTGAGGGCTACTGTGGGGAAAATTAACTCCATCTCAGGCAGATCTAATACACTCTGTAAATTTTTTTGGGAATCTCGACTGACATAATAGGTTGAGGTCTACATTATGTTGGTACCTTGTTGTCATCATCACTGAGAGGCTTAACTTTGGCTTGAGTCCAGGTTGTATGCTTTCAGAGTGCACCTTGTCTTGCAGGGCATAACTCTGGAATACGACTGTGGTAAGCAGCCCCTGGTTCCACAACTAAAGTGCATCTAAGAGAGAGGCAATAGAAAAGTTTTCATTCACACAACTGCAAGAGATTTGCATTCCTGTGTGGAATTTATCACCCCTTTTCCACTGACAGATTTTCAGATATATTTCTGATATACCCTTAGTATACATACACATATAAAAATCCTCTTCATCCTTTTTTTGAAACAATGAATTTGTAAACCAGATATTTTTCAGCATTCATCGTAAATGTAATTTATTTAACTTTAAAACTGAGGCTTGATCCAATTTTCTGAAAACACAGTTGATTTTGTTTGGAGTTTAGTTTGAACCCTGATGTTGTTCTCTTTGTTCTGTTTTCAGCTTATGAAAATTGACTGGCATAAAATGAATGAGCAACTGAGAAACTGTGGAATAGTATATTATACTATGCACAACAGTTGGATAAAATCCCTGCCAATCTCACTTCATCCTTAAAAGATATACAGAATGATATGGTTTTATTTAGGTAATGCTTCTATCGCGGTGAGACTAAACTTCTAAATTTCACTCTTAAGTAATCATTGTTAAAGCAAACAGAAAATGACTGCAAGGGGAAGCACAGCTCTGATCTATACATGCTTTATTGCAATTGTTTTCATCGCACAAACTAGTTGCCAATACTGAGTGACAGATGTGAAACCTTGGGACTACAGAAATATCAAAATATTTCAGATCCCACCAGCTCTTGGAAAATTTTAAAGTCACCACAATGACATTATTAAGTATTATAGGAGGTTATGTTGTTGGAAATGGATCAACAAAAAAACAAAAACAAAAACAAAAAACCCCACAAAACCAAACCAAACCAAAACACCAAAAAACCCACACCCAAAAAAGCCCCTAAAAACAAAACCAAAACAAAAAAACCCCAATCAAAACACCAAAATCCTGTAGGAGTTGAACTGCAACTCAAACATAGCTAATGCTGGTCCTCGTGTAGTCAGAAAACTGCTTCACTCTCTTATAAGAAACAACTGCATATTCTGGCTTGAATTGTTTGAAGGAGATCTTCAAAAAAAGAAGAGAGTACAGAATAATATCATTGGCCTAAGGATTTGGAGAAGGTGCAGTTCAAGTACTGACAGGAGGCAGTAAATATATCTTCACCATGGGTGCAAAGACATCCAAGATGACTGCCGGTGAACTTGCTCAGGCCTAGAAGCAGTATATCTAAGTTTGAGGGGCAGCAGTCCTGAACTAATAATCACTGATGATTTATGAACTCCTTGACAGGGCTTATCAGCTTGTCACAGGGCTTTTTCCAGAAAGGCACTGTACAGAGGGTTCATGGATTTGTGCTGCATGGACTGAGGAGGGGGCCTCATTGTGTTGGAAATCGCTCTTGACATGCCACGGTAAAATGGCAGAATATTGCTGACCTCTGTAATTTACTTTCATCTACCCAATACATAATCCCTGGTAAGTTTAATGTGCCTGCAGACTTTAGTCTATATTATGATATGTTTTCTCTAGCATATTTCTGAAGGAGCTGAACTGAAAATACTGGGCTTACTGAAGTGTATACAGCATGCTGCAAGAGGGTTTTCAGCCTGACTCCTTGCTTTGGAGCAGGGGGAGCTGCAGGACTTGGTTTCAAGAAAGTTAATGGCTGAATACCACACTGTTGAGGGAGTTGCACAGGTCTCAGAGAGCCATTTACATCCGAGAATTACAATACCCTGTGTTCATCTAGCTAGAAGGCACTTTTAGGCTGTATCATACTCACATTTTGGTTTACATTCCCTTGTTTTCCTCATGTTACTGTGCTTTGTCTTGTTCTGCAGTTTAGTTTGGTTTCTGCAAACTAGATGCCCACAAGATGGATTTCAGAGAAAAGTGAGGTTTTCCTCTTCAGAGGTTCACCGAGTGTATTATATGCCCTAGTGCAGCCATAAGCATTTGGACATTGAGTGGGTGACTTTGAACAATGCGAGGACGTTCAGACCAGGATATCATACTAAACCTGGATGGAAGGGAAAACTTTGAACCACATAGCAAGAGTAGGGCTTCAGCACTGGCTGCTTTGATCTACTGATTTATTCTTATCATACTGAATTATTTGCTAATGTAGACACAGCCTTAATCCTCCTTTTCTAATCACATACTAAGTTCACTACACACTGAAATGCAGATGAAAGTGCTTCCTTATGTAACATTAATAAACCAAGTTCCACTCTAATCAGTAAGAGTTCAGCCTTGTATTGCAGGGTGCTGAGATTTTTCCCACAGCAAGCTGTTTAAAAAAAACCAAACACCAAGAATCTGAAAAACCTCGAAGTCCATGAAATTTCAAAGAGCCACCTCCTGAAAAACAACAATGGAGACCTTCTTTTCTTCACTAATCATAAAACTGATTTTTTTGGTGGATAAAAAAAATTGACCTGCTTTAATGAGTTCACTATTATCTGAAGCCATTTTTCAAATTTAATCTCATGGAAAGTCTCTGTGATATGGATGACAAATCCAACATTGCTTTTGGATATTTCCATTCAGGTTTTTAAAGCAACATCACATACTACTTTTCCCTAAACCAAACAGAAAAGAAATGTGACCTCACTTTTTCTTTTTTTTTTTTTTTTTTTTTTTTTAGAATATGTTTATTGTGCAGTGAATTGTGAAATAAAGAGAGATGTATGAAAACATCAGTACTCGGGAATATACAGTTACTCCTGCAAAACAGTTCACATCAAATATCACCCTACCCACCTTCCCAGAAACCCCTGGGAAAGGGGTGAGAAAATGCCAGTTTATTGATGTCTTGTTTAACATAAGTATTTCATACCTTTTGGAAATGATTCCATAGGAAAAGCCTGTGTCAGAAGACATAGAATTCTGGTCCAAAGCTTCCAAAACAGAAGATATTATGACCCTCAAAAAGAGAAGATTATTTTAGATTATCCCATAGATATTTCAGTTAAGGTGAGATTAAGCACCTGCACATCCTTTACTAATGGGATCTATCCTGTAAATCATTTGGTGATCCAAATAAACATGACAGTGGTGAAACAACATCAGTATCTAAGGACGTAGTTCTAGCCAGGATCCCACTAAGCATAGGAGTATCTTTGCAAATGCTAAAAGTGACATTTATAAGCTAGCAGGTGAAACTGCTAAAAATAAACATTACTGTGTTTCTACCTCAAAAAAATACTTTACTTTTTGAGGCAGAATTTGCTTTTTGCTGTCTGTCCACAAAGACATTTGCGTGTTGGGATAAACAGCAATATTACAGTATCCCTAAGCTTATGAACTGTTTCCTCAGTGACAGATGGGAAAAGTAAAGCTGAAGTAGTTAATGTGCATTTCTGCTAAGCAACAAAATCAGAACAAATACTTAATTAGTTACTTCCTTAAATATTTTCCTTTATGGAGAGAATGAGCATATGTACACACTTCTGCATACATGTATATAAAAGAGTAGAACTCTGAAACTTTCCCTTAGTGCAGAGAAAAGCACTCTTCCTGAAATACTGCCTGATTTCAAATTTTGTTTCTTTTCAAATCTAAACAATATTTGGAAAATGTTCAGTTGTACAAATTAACACCATCAAGAATTTTTTTTAAGCCAAAGGTCTAATTTTAATGGTAATATTTCACCTATAAAAAGTGAGGATAACAGGTTTGTATTCATACAAAGGTGTTAATTAATGAAAGACAAACCTTTGCCAGTTATTGACACATTCCTCTGTAATCCTGTTATGTGGAACATTCTAATGAAGTCATAGTTTATTACTAATGATCCAGCTTTGTTTAAAAAAAAAAAAACTGTGAGGGGGAGGGGGATTGAAATAATTTATTTGCTTTGGTGTATTTTTTATCACAGCAGGTAAGAATGCTGCATTTTGACTGCCACATTGTATGCAGGATGAGGGGGTATGACCTCAGAAGCAGCAATGTAGAACTGGCTCTTTCACACTTCAGCACACACTGCTGTGAACCAGCACTTTGGTCATATTATCCGCCTCACCACAAAGCTGTCCGCTAATTATCTCTGAATACGAATTTTATTGAACCTTAATTTTCAGTAATGGGGCCTGATAGTTTGAGAAGAAAGACAAAAGAAGGGTCCCTTTGTTTTTCCCTCACAATAACCTTCTAGTGCTGGAGCTATGGTAGAACTCATTAAACTTGAACAATGAATTGAAATATGATCGTGTTATTTTTTTCCCTGCCCCCAAACTAGCCTGGTCCTGTCTGCCAGCTTGTCCATCTGTCTAATGATATGGGAAGAGACATCAATTTTGTAGTGGACACTGTTACGACACATTCCCAAACTCCAACCAAATCACTGGAAACATGAATCTGAGCAGAAATTTGATTCTTTTGTACATGTTTGGCAAGATCTCATGGCAAGCTTAGCAGTGACTCAAGTTCTATGGATTGGAGATTTGAAAACCCTGATTAAACCAGTTCAAACGAAAGCTGATTTGTGTTTGAGGTGACCTGTGGGAAAAGATCCACACTAGCTAGAAATACCTATTATTCATCCAAACTGTGAGTTAAAAGAAACCTAACACTTAAAAAAAAAGTATATGCAGCTAATTTGAGAAAGGACTGTAGGGTTCTGCTCAGCTGTGGATTGGTAGAGGTTTTTGTACTGGCTTCAAATTTCAGCCATCACAGGGCATCCTCCACTGAGCAATGGAACTTTTAAAAGTTTATTGCCTTTGAATCAGGGATTTTTGCCATAGTTTTTTCAATCTCAACTGAACATAGGGCTGAGCAGTTGTGCTGTAGTTCATATAGTAAAATGCTTCAGGATATACATGAATGCAGTTAAAATTAATGGATTACTTTCTTGCAGGATTGTCTTATTGAGTCATTGCAATGGCAATTTGGATTGCTCATCAACACTTCTGTCTCTCCTGAGCTGTGATTATTGTCTATGAGAACCATCAATGTATTTTTGGAAGATGTCTTCCTCTCAAGCTTTCAGGTATCTCCTCTATCCAAAATATTGTTTCAGATATATTTCATACAGTTCTGTGGGTGATATATTTGTGGAAAATTTACATAAAAAACTAGGGATCAACATCTGTTGTATCCAAGAAAAATCTTGATACTGTCCACTTTAAGATTCTCATGTGTACCTGGAAATTCTGACATAGCCTAGTTTTTAATTTTCTCTTCATTTTTGAGGGAGAACATGCCACAGCCAAGGCGAATATTACAAGTTCTATGATTCTTTTCCTTTACGTTCAGCCTAAATTTTCTTTCTGTTAGATGCTATACAATTATTCCTAAGTTAAAGTCACCAATATAAAACCAACTTGTATGCACAAACCAATTAAAGGATAAGTTTCTAAACAAAATAATGTAAAGGCAGCCCCCTCCTCCATCTCTGTGCCCTCACAGGGAATTTACAAACACACAGAGGCACATAAACTCATGTCTAGCTAAGACTGGAAGTCTGCTGAACAAATTACAGTTTTGGAGAGTAGAGAAAAAGGAGGTTGTTTCAGGGGGATTATAAATACATACATACTTATATTTTTATACGTTTATGTACAGACATCCATATACACATGCATGCACATACACATACGTACTTATATGAAGCCCCTAAAGCACAAACTGATTTCATTTTGACTTAACCTATTCAATTAATTTTTATTTAACATTTCATATCAAAACAAATAATCTATTCTGTTAATAGCATTGCTATTTTTATTGCCCTGAGTATTTAAAGGCTGAAATGATTAGTAGCTTTACATTAACTGAATTTATAAAACGGAACATCTGGTTAACACACTGTGATTGTAAAGATTTTGGTTTCCAGTGTATGAAAAGATGCTCATACTGCAAGCAATGTGTACTTAATAGCCTGCATTTAATTGTAAATAAATAAAAATAAAATCAGAGACAGAAAAATATTTATTAATAGGCAGGAATTGGGTGCCCTTCAATGATATAACTTTCACAGACTTTTTCCATCATATAGAAAGTGATTCTTCTGTCATTTCCACATTTGTCAGTCAGTAGTAATTACATCGAGGTGAGCAAAGAGATCAGTATTGAAACTGGCATAAGAATACAAACATCGGGAACACAAAATTTCTAAATATAGCATTTGGTTAAACTTTCAAGCTGCTTTTGGGGAATTTTGAAGCTTTTTAATGATCTTGCCTTTTATTTCATACAGAAATCTTTTCTTGGTCTGTTCACTGAATGCCAATTTGATTCAGGGAGTTGTACTTCTATTAATTTTATCTTTCTTTTAGTTTTGACATAGTAAGTGAACCATACGGAAGAATGTCAGTTTGGTATTTGAGAAAGAGTGAACTAAGAAACAAAAAAATAGCCTTGATCTGTGATAAATGTGCACTGAAGGAATTCATCCAAACAACAAAAATCACATTCATCATGACTCTAATAAAAGATTTTATTTATGCTTCATTTTTCAACTAAATAAAGTAGTGAGTGGAGAGTTTGTGTGCAGCTACACATCTACTCTTAGGGCTGGCTGTGTGAACCTGTTTGCCTGCTGGTGTAATATCTGGCACAAACAGTGCCCCTGATAGCTAACACCAGCAATGTAATTTGTTTACTGTAACAGGTTCTAGTCTTCCAGTGGGAATCCTTGGATGCAACTGGGAGAGAGTGAGACAGCAGAGGAATGTACTGTATATTCAGACAGATGTATAGTGGATACCGTATGTTCTTTTCCAACAACCGCTACATTGCTGCATTACAGTTCAAATTCTAAACATTCAAGGATGTAAACGTATTAAACAACGCATCTATTTGTGCAAAGCATTCTTTATGAGGGGCATCCATGTGCTTTTAATCAGTTTCATGCTGAGTGAAAGAAATTGTAAACTATGCATTAAAAGAAGGTTTGGTGAAAGTTATTTTTCCTCTATCTTCTGCATCCTAATTCAATGCTTCCCCTTGCTTTCAGTGATAATATAAGCAATCTTCTAGCAACATTCATGAGGAAAGTTTGATGTGGATTTACACTAGTGGAGCTACATTACAATGGGTAGATTTAAGGTATTATAAAATGAGTTTTTGGATTTGTTACAGAGGTATGAAACCCCTAAGACACAGACAGATAGGACTTCCAACATATGGCAACCACTCTTATTATAAAACAAAACAGTGTTAAGTCAAAGTACCTGATTACAATTCGCTAGTGCTATGTAGCTCTGATAGCAGGCTTATATTTAATGCCACAGAAACAATATAATTTATTTTTCTGTCTTCCCTTATCCCTTCATTATTGGGTTTGTAGGCTTTGAAACCTTAAGCAAAAGGACAAAATATAAATTATAGAAAACATCAAAGTATAGTGAAATCAAATGACATTCCATACGATCCTTACAGAGATATCTAACACATTTCTTATGTGCAGTTTGGTCGAATTGCTATCACTGCAGAGCTTTAGTCGTTATAGTTAGTAATCTTTTGGGAGTTATGGTAGCACACTTACAATGTCAAAAAAATTTAATTGAATGCAATAGTTAACTTGACAGTGTAAAAATTCATTTGATAATGATTTAAGCTGGCTGAGATTTTAACCCATTATAAAAGGGATCATTAGGGAAAAAACATAGCTATATAATTTTACTCCAGCATGCTTCTTCAGCTAAGTTTGTTGATAGATTTCTCTTATATTACCTTCTTTGACATGTAGATTCTGGAGGTAGAGCATCTAACACAACTACTCGCATCTACACATTCACTACTAAATACAATTTTTGGTGAACATCATATATCTAAAGCATGCAAATTAAGCAAAATGTGACTGTGATGGACACGTCAAAAGAAAAATCACTAAGCCCTGTAGCCTAATAAACAAAATTCCGTTTGGGAAATGAATTGACTGACAAGCAGTTCCTAACAAATAAATGCACATTAGATTCAGATGCATACCAGAGTATCAAATAACTAGATAATTTATCACCAGTCAAATTTAAAACCACGTTTTCTTGTCTTGGTCTATGGTTCCCATGCACTGCTATCTTATTAACAAGACTTTAATTCTCGTACTGACACACAAAAGTGTTGTACTCTAATGAACTGTCTGCTCCTTGCAGAAATCTGGTGGTAATGTAGGATGTTAGTTACAATAATGATAATCTTTAGTATTTTTAGCCTGTCAGAACCTGCACAGCCAACAACAACCAGTCTTTTACTAAAACTCTACCTCATCAAACTAACTTAATTAGCAATTCAACTCCTTATTTTTGTTTTGGATTCCCCTCTGGCTACTAATTAAAGCTTAATCGAAACTGCTGAACTGAGGTTGTAAAGAATTCATTAATATTAAAATTAGCCCCAACAATTTTTTTGGGCTGGTGCAATTTGTATTTGTTACTGTCAGGGCTTGAAATTCAGTTGAATTGTTAAGAAAGCAGTACCAGAAATTTGCTGTATATTCATATTATAAGCAGAACAAATACGATGAATTCCAATAGTTGAACAAGTAATTCATGTTTTGACCATGCACATTTCACATTACTTGTGTCACTGTTTAATACCAACAGACAAAATATATTTTCAGATCATTTTTCCAAAGTCATCCACATTTCTTTATCCTCCTAAGTGCTTTCATATTTTGGATAAAAGGGAATAAAAGGCTCTGAAAAAAAATGCAAAGATTGATTTTATGTATTAACTTGACAAGATTAATATGTTTGAAAAATGAACAGATTTACCACTTCACTTTGATTTTTCCACTTTTCTTAACATCAAAGATTACTCCAGCTGCAATAATGGTCATTCTGAAAACTAAGATCAACTGAAGTATGAGCTTCTGTAAAGGACCTTTTTTTGCTGGTAACCTATATCTCATTGAAATATTTTTTTTTTAATAAGAATGTAATACATTATTTTTTAAATTAAAATGAGCATCTCTGGTCTATAAATTATTCAAATATATTCTTTTCTTAACTCAGTTTATTCTTTGTAATGAGTTAAAATGTATTTTTAATTAAATTGTTTAGCTTACAATAAGAAATGAACTTATATTTGAGTATCACTACTCTCAACAATATGAGTAAAACATATTTGTGTTTGTTTTTTGTAAATTTCATAGAAAATGTAAATAATAAAGGCAGTCTTTTTATAGCAGATAAAAACAATTTTCATAATTCAAGTTCACTTTTCATTTTAACTTTTATGCTTTAATATTTTTATCGGAACATGTATATTTATTTTACCCTACAGGAAATTTTTTCAAGAATGTTTATAGGAAACAAACTTGTTAGGACTAAAATATACAGCAACTAATACTGTTTAACATATTTTATTAAATATAAACATTAAGATTATTTATATAATGCAAAAATTTACAAAAATATACATGGAAAATTACATATGCATCTAGGTTTCATTTAAATAACATTTATGACAAAAAAATCATGCACATATTTAAAAATCAACATATGTCCATTTTTTACTCACTGACTAAATCAACAATGGCATACAAGGCACACAATTTAAAATCTTGGTGACAATTTCCATGAAGTTATTCAAATACAATTTGACTTCTGACAAGAGGATGTAATTTATAAAACAGAACATGCCTATCAGTGGAACCTAAATTTGCATAATGAGGATACTTTCATTTCTGCAAGCACAGTTTTTGACATCCCAACTTGGAGCGCTGGAAGAATCTGGTGAAAAATGTCAATATACATAAGCAGAAAAATGATGAATAAAATACCCGTAACATTTATCTGATTTGAATAAACAAAATAAATTTTGCTTGCAAAAAGTAATCATTCTGAAAACTATAATAATGTGTTACCTAAATGTGTAGAAGTCTAGCACTGCCTTTAGCTGCAATCAGCCTAATAAAACTAAGGAAGGTGTTCTGAGTTTATCATTAGCTGATAAAAACACTGTTCTGACATTAATATTATGCACTTTTTAATCAGTGTTTTGATTTAATTCTCTGTTGTGTTTCCTA